ATGATGGCAGAAGACTTAAGACTGCGTCTTGTCAATGAAGACAGAAACCCTTCTGGAACGTTCGGGGCAACGGTTGCCCTCTGGCTTGGGGGTGGGGGGAGGGAAGAAGGCCAATCAAATCAACCACAGGCGAGGCTCACAAAAATAGCATCAACCAGGCCAGGCAAGACTTGACCGGGATTGACCCCCTCTTTTCGTTGTGTCTGTGTCGGCCATTGCATATCAAAAACAAATCAAACCATACAACTATGTGAATGGTTCTTTCCGTAACCTTCACCGTCAGGATAGGTGCAACGCCCATCTGGTATATGACTTACGCGCAAGGACAGGACAGAGCTTTAAGGAATATTGGTATCTGCCCCTGAATTTTCGAATCATATCCCCAGGCGTCTCTCCGTATAGTTTATTCCGAAAATGGGACTGTTCACGATGCGCCAACACACTGACCGCAGGAATGAATGGCCGGATGACATAAATTGAAGCCGATGCATGGTTGCACGATATTCCAGACTGAACAATATCCCAATCATGTGCGATGTCGGTGTGATGTGGTGAGGAGTCGGTTTTTCGTAGAAATCGAGGCTCGACTCAAGACGTTGAGGTGAACTTTTCGGGTGTGTTCAGGTCACGGGTGAGCGTCCATGAATGAGTAACTCTGATTAATTCGTGGTTGCATCCGAGTCAATTGTTGAACAGTTGAACCGGAAATGGTAAAGGTTGGGTATGTTGATCATTTAAAAGTGGTGATGAAAAGCAATAAACGGATGGCAGGTGAGAGACGCCGCCTCCTGGACAAGAGTACGGTGGTCAATTACTGCCATTGGCCGAATACACCCACGCTTCCTGGGCCCCGCACACATCACGTGTATCTCCTAAACCTTGAGAGTCACGCTCCAAGTTTAACTGCGTGAAATCGTTTAGGCCTCTGTGGTCGGTCGATTTTATGCCACGTATCCAAGGACAGCTATTTAGTTAACTAAAAAAATTGCTTTCCACGATAACTGCACCGCAGAATTAATGAGGGTACAGTAATAGCGTGCAAGGCGCTGTAAACGAGTGTTAAAAGGCCAATCAATGCTGGTGAAAGGATGACGGTCAACGGGCAAGAGTAGGTTTACAGCTGGTGATTAACCAATTGAATTGATTGTCCCTCAGCAATCTGACTACAAAACGGTCGAAAAGAATAACAAAGCGATTAATTCATTTTCTTTTAAACGCAGTGAAAGAAATAGGGAGTTTATTGAGTATGATTGGCTAGGGGACACTCCCCACTATTAATCACGCGAATTTCCTAATACCCAGGCGCCCCCAAGTCTGTTGCAAGAATTATTTCATTCTGTCTACTTAAAAGAATCCTCGTGTGTCCACTTTATGCCAGATTCCCCAGGCATAGACCCAAGCTATTCCTGTACCTCGCTTGTTGGCTTATCAGCTACAGTATGTCCCGAAACTGGTGCGCCCACCTACACTCTTCGATTGTGTTTTGACCCTAATGCCAAGATACACTAGTCTAAATTAGCGCTAGACCCGGAATATCAATATTCCTGTGTTATTCGCGATACAGTACTGTACTCTACTTAAACTACAATACATCGTTCCGTGCTTGTATCAGCAATCGATAATCACTGGAACCTTCCATACTGAAGCAATTAGTTCAAACACATGAGCCAGAGTGAGCCCTGCCGACTGCTGATGGATCAATATTTAACTGTATTCCCTTCCAGTCGTTATCCTCAAACATGCTTGAACATCTGGCAGGTCTTCAGTTAAAGCTAGAAGCTTCTCAGGAGCTTTACAGTACTCCCAGATATGGATGCCATAACCCGGACGGAGTTATATTTTTCCGATCAACCCCTTCTTTCAAATCCTAGGGCCATTTGGACTTAGCTTATTTCATATCCTTGTTTCAAAACGATGGCAGGGCATGACATCATGACATTCCCGAAAGATATGGCATTCATCCGGTCCGCATCGTCAAGATTTCCCACGTCCAGATCGCTGGCAGACCTCCTCTCACAGAGAGACAGATAAGAGAAAATTGGGACAACGAACGCAATGTTCAACTGCAGGAACAGTACAACAATTTATGCCGAAGTCTTGTTAACATCCTGGATGATAAGATTTTCTCGCCAACAGCCTTGGGTTCGTCACCTCAGTGGTCGCAGGTGGGGCGTTACACGTCCCTTGTCATAGTGTTGAATATGAATACGAGGAAGCGGATTCAATGCTCTCGTTACCGGAAATGATAGGAAATATGAGAGTCAGACTTACCGATGCGAGCTTAACTTAGCGGACATCAAAACACTCCACACTCTAAGCAAAGTTCTCCTGGGCCGAGGTTCTGAGCATTCAGATCGACCGGAGCCGAACACCCGTGGCATTTTCTATGGGGCTTTTCAATCAGGCAGTTACAGTCGATATGACAAAGACCTTGCTTTCCGTTCTTCGAGGCAACCGCTCACCCTATCTTCTAATCATGATGGTCCTCTTCACGAAAGCTCATTAGTCAACTATGATATCTTCAAAAATCATTGCGAGGGTAACCAATCTTCGGACCTCATCACCATGTCCCACCGAACACTGGGATTTCAAAGACCTTGAAGGTGACATGATAGCCGTGATTGATTTCTCGAAGCTTCTTGCTATGAGAGTCCTGTTCAGTCAAACAACTACTTTATGTGGCAAATTAGGTGCGGAGGGAGGCCTGGTCTCGCTCTAGAAGCAACGGTCTCAGTTGCGTAAATTGAAACTATTGGGTAGCTTATCGATGGGTGCCAGCTGAGTGCATTGAACGCATCTCAGTCGCATCTCTGCGGAGTGCTTGCAAGGAGCATGGCATTGGTAAGTGATACGGGCCCTGAAAAGAGCAAATACTCATATACAAAAAGGAAATCTGACTTCGATCGGCAACTTTCACTCGAGGATCTGCTTGGCGAAATATTGGAAGGACTCAGTGTCTAAGCTGCTCTTTTCAAATACATATTCAATTTTTTATGACAGTATTGTCATGTTTACAGTATTGGCAATGCCTAAAATGGATGGCTTTGAACCTTCACCGCTCTCGCGGGAGTAGACATGTTACTGTACGCTTGAGTCACTTAAGTACACACTCATTTGACTCTTCTTTTTTTTAGCTGTTTACAGCCCTTAGGGGGGCATTTGAACTCATCAGACGGAATGTAGTGAAGCAAGCAATTGAACGGTGACTCAACCTGTCCTAGTACTAGACTAGCCTACAAGCGCCTCCTTGATACTGTGCAATCACAGCTTTTCATAATCCTCAGACTTCTAGAAGAATGTTCCCATTTTATTCTTTGTTTATATATACATAAGTTCAAAGTTATAGTTACGGGTCATTAGGAGCCCCGTATCCCCAAAGACATTGCTGTCTAGTGGAGGAGATCCCATGGAGATAGCACAGTATCACAAGATCTGCTTTTAGCTCAAAAGATCTCGGTATCTAGGGGTGTAATACCGACCCCTTTAAACTAGCCGATAACTCACCCACAAATTGACCAGAATCCGCATCACACTCATCGCTGACGGGTTCAATGTCACGGGCCTTATCTTCAGGCACTTTTGTCTCCTCCTGAGGGACAGTAGGTATCTCTTCAGCCTGCAAGCTGGCTTTGCGGGGAGATTTCTCTTCATGGATGTGTGCGAAAGTGGTGGCCAAAGGAATACGAATCAAAATTCGCGCAGTAAAATACTCAGTCACTTTCGTGAAGGATTAGGACTAAGGCGGAAGGGATGAGAGGGGTGAGCTCCTCAATCGCGGTATGTGATCTCTTCTCCTGGCCACGTGGCACCCAATGATTCAAAAGGTACTGAGTCGCAAAAGTGACTATGATGCTATCCTACGTGGCACCACTCGATCTCCGCGCAGGCTTTATCAAGCTTTGATCGACAATGTTCTTTGTTCCCCAAAGGACACATTTTGCAATTACACGGCTTTAGAAACCGAAAACTATTAAAACAAACATCAAGTATGATGTAGATTTGCATCCGTTGCTCTCGGGGAGTATCTCCCCATCACCAAAGTCCCAAGAAATACGCCACCAAGGATGGACAAAATATATCCAATATTCTCTGTCATGATGAAAATCATCCTGCGAGGTCGTTAAAAACAAATACGATCGCATGCTAGCGAAGATACTTACTGTATGTATAAAATTGCCAGGATCAAAGTAGTCATTGTGGCTTTCAGCATAATAGTTTTCCACGATCTCCGCGCCCTTTCATGTTGTTCGATAATGATAATATCCTTTTCTGGGCCATTTGGAGTCAATAAATTTTCCAACCCATCCAGGCGCCCGGAACTGTCCCTGTTGAGAAAGAGGACATGCCGCCTGTTAAGTGCGCATCCGGACCATCGCTTCTCTAGCACGGACCTGGAGGAAACAATGAACAAAAGAATAACGCCCAGGACCACTAGAAATATGCAAGTCCCAGCATAGGAGCTGGTTGATGCTGTTGCCCACATCGTGGTTTGGATGCAGAATCTGTTAAGAATTTGTTTCGAGGTTGTAGATAACGTCAAAACACCTTCATGTACTGCTCTCAAGGATGAAACCGAATGGTTCGGAAAAGAATCAGAGTAGAAAAACCGATCCATGCTCACGAGGAAGCGGTGTGGGGTAGAAAGCTTGTGATAAAAAGTGGCTCAAATCTGCTCACGAGTCCAGAACCAGAAGGCCCGATTTTGGTTGGTTCTCAGTCGCAGCAGAAACCATGGACAAAAAACTTTACGCCTCTGTCGCATTCGATTGGCTGTATGGATAGGACGAGGTGGATCTGACTTGGGCCGTGCGCCAGAATGACAAGACCCAGGACGGAGGCCAGCCAAAGCGCCATGCTACTTAAGCCAGCTAGATCCAGACGCAACCGAAAAGCAGAATTCTCAGTCAAAGCTTGGTTCATCCTGAAGATTCGGCGAAGAGCTGTTGCCCTTAAAACAGCCACCTGAAGTCGTACCGTCGAAGGCCCGTCCCGGTCCCAGCATGGTTGGGTCTGCACCCGGGCTAGATACCCGCTATCGTACCACGACGTTCCTGTTGTCAAACCTCCATTGTGCCTCTTGCGTGTCGAACATTGAGGAGGCTCTTTTCAGGCTTGGCCCAATGTCTAGTTCGGTAGATATATCTATCGTCTCTCAGACGGTCACGGTTCGCCACCATCCATCTCTACCGGAGTCAACTTTATCAGGAGCGCTTTATGATTCTGGGTTTGAAATCTACGATGTGGTCCGAGATGCAGAAACTGGATCTAATACCGAGGATGGCAACCGCAACGAGGGGTCCTTGGCAGAGCAAGACGGATGGATCGACCGGGCAGTGGAGATATGGTTAAGGCGCTATAAGTCGGCCAACAAGTTTGAAAAGAAAAGAATAGCCGCACATATTGAAAGATGCGATATTTGCCGCGCTGAGCAAGGGGAGAAATCGGATAAGCAAACGCTTTCTACTTCAACCGCTGGGCAAGGTAAGTGCTTCGCAATAAACTATTATAGTGGGGGCACAGGCAGCGATAGGAACTAAAATATGCAACTAGGTACAACGAACGAACCTTTGGTTGTTATCGACTCTACAGATTCTCCGAAGTCTGTGAAAGTCACCATATCTATTCTGGGAATGACTTGCGGCACCTGCGTTGGCAAGATCTCCGAAGCACTCGAGACTCAACCTTGGGTACAGTCCGTGAATGTTACTCTTCTTACCAATAGTGCCGTGATTACAATTCAGGACAAAAGCCACGCGGCGGATATCCTTCGGATTATAGAAGATGTGGGATATGAGGCGACAGTGGAACAGCTCGATGAACGCCCTGCCCTACTCGAGGCCGACCGCGAGCCCAAAATTGCCACTTTGCGAGCGTCGTACTCTGTGGGTGGGATGACCTGCAGTAGCTGTATTGGGGCTATCAAAGGGGCACTGAAGAACTTTGGCTGGATAAAAACGGTCAACATAAATCTCCTCTCAAACAGTGCCACGGTCATATTCGAAGGGAAAGATCATCTGCCTGAGATCGCGCGGGTTATCGAGGACATTGGTTACGAGGCTACTCTGAATGACGTCAACGAACTGGACCGTACGCTATATGGGAATCGGCGGAGAGAGATCGCAATTCACGTCAGTGGCATGTACTGTGATCACTGCCCTCTTCGGATCATTGGCTACCTGAAGCAGTGTGCTGGGGAAGTAAAAGTCGACAAACTATTGAGTGTGACCGATCCAATCTTACAGGTCAGCTATACGCCAAACGCCCCGGATTTCACCATTCGGCATATCCTGGCTTCGATCTCAACGGCAGACCCTAATTTAGAGGCCTCGCTTCATCATCCACCAACGTTGGAAGAGCGTTCACAAAAGATCAATGCTCGCGAACAGCGACGTCTTCTACTGCGGACCGCTTTTTCCGTCGCTGTAGCTATTCCAACCTTTCTTATTACGATCGTCTTCATGAGTCTGGTGCCGTCAGAGAATCGTCTTCGGCAGTTTTTGATGCGGCCGATGTGGTCTGGTGGAGTTCAGCGGGGGGTTTGGGCTTCCTTTATTATGGCTTGTCCAGTATACTTCTTTGCCGCCGACATCTTCCATCGTCGTGCATTGAAGGAGATATTCGCACTATGGAAGCCTGGGAGCACGACGCCTATATTCCAAAGATTCTACCGTTTCGGAAGCATGAATATGCTTATGTCTCTGGGTACTTCTATTGCGTTCTTCTCATCTATCTCGGAATTAGCTATGGCAGCTATACATTCGTCAAGTTTGGCAATGAAAGCCAACCGCGCGAGTTATTTTGACTCGGTCGTCTTTCTGACCATGTTCCTACTTATTGGAAAGCTCATCGAAGCATATAGCAGAGCAAAGACAGGAGACGCGGTTACAATGTTGACAAAGCTTCGACCAACGGAGGCCACACTCGTTGATGAAGGCTCCGGACAACAGACGAGACAAATTAGCGCAGACCTTCTCGAAATTGGTGACACCGTCAGAGTCCCGCAAGGCAGCTCTCCCCCATGTGACGGACACGTTATCGAGGGCGAGGCTTGTTTTGATGAATCAAATCTTACGGGCGAATCAAGACCTGTGAAGAAGTCGATTAGTGACGAGGTCTTTTCGGGTACCGTGAACAATGGCGGTCCTATCTCTATCCGAGCCAGCGGCATTTCTGGAGCGTCCATGTTGGATCAAATTGTTGACGTGGTCAGGGAAGGCCAAACTCGACGCGCGCCAGTTGAACGTATCGCGGACCTTCTGACTAGCTATTTTGTACCATTCGTCACACTCATCGCTATCTCTACATGGATCGTGTGGCTGGGACTAGGGCTGTCAGGCGCACTTCCACGTGATTACCTAGATATCGACGGAGGAGGGTGGCCACTTTGGTCATTGCAATTTGCTATCGCTGTCTTCGTCATAGCCTGCCCTTGCGGTATCGCTCTAGCCGCTCCAACAGCCCTCTTTGTTGGTGGTGGCCTAGCCGCTCGAAACGGGATCCTTGTTAAAGGTGGAGGTGAAGCATTCCAGGAAGCCAGTGGACTGGACTGCGTTGTCTTCGACAAAACTGGTACCTTGACACAGGGTGGTGAGCCCGTGATCACAGACCATGAGGTCATGCCTGGTGCCGACGAACGTTTAGTTCGAACCGTGATCAGAATTCTGGAGGAGAACAGCAGCCATCCAGTCGCGAAGGCTGTTGTCTCATTTTGTGAGTCCCAAGAGACGACATCGGTCCAAGTGGAAAACATGGTTGAGATCGCCGGCAAGGGTATGAAAGGCACACTCTTAGCTGCGAAGCAGACTGTGATGATCATTATCGGAAATGAGGCTCTTATGGCTGACTACAATGTCCATATTCCTAACACCACTGCGGAAAAACTTGGCACCTGGAAAGCTCAAGGGAAATCGATCTCATTGGTTGCCATGAAAAGTGCCCCAGGTGGTGAAACTGGGACACCACTTACAGACTCTACATCGTTGGACTTGGTCATGGCTCTCGCAGTTTCTGATCCTCTCCGCCAAGAAGCATTTCCTACTATCAAGGCGCTGAAAAGGAGAGGAATAGACGTTTGGATGATATCCGGAGATAACCTAACAACCGCAACCGCCGTTGGTACAATGGTTGGGATCCCCGAGGAAAACATAATTGCGAGTGTGCTTCCCGCGCAGAAAGCCGAGAAAATTCGGTACCTCCAAAGGACATTAAAGAAAGTCAGCTCTCGGAACGCTTCTGGAAAGGCACTGGAATATACAGACAGAAGGGCGACGATCGCCATGGTAGGGGATGGGATAAATGACTCCCCAGCCTTAACAATGGCAGATGTAGGAGTTGCGATTGGTTCTGGTTCCGACATTGCTATCTCCTCCGCTGATTTCATTCTTGTTTCGTCTCGGTTAGATTCATTGCTGACACTGATTGATCTCAGTCGCATTGTCTTTAAGAGGATCAAGTTCAACTTCGCATGGGCGTTGGTTTATAATCTGATCGCCTTACCTGTGGCTGCTGGAGTTTTATATCCTGTGAAAGCCAGTGGAGGTCACATCAGACTCGACCCAGTCTGGGCCAGTTTAGCCATGGCGTTAAGCAGCGTGAGCGTTGTCTGCAGTAGTCTACTTCTGAGGAGCAGGATACCGGTGATTGGATTTAGGCTTTCGGAAGATCGCCAATATGATTAGAGAGCTGCGTTGAAAACATTTTTAAGTGCTTCAAACTTTTGTCAGCCTCCCAGTTATATGAGGAAAGACATTCCACCATCCTCCTGCAATGGTATGAACCTCCACGCCCGTCCATGGAGTTTTGCCCCCGTTTCTTGTAACTTCAATACATCACTTTGCAGTATCTCGATTAAACTCACACCCGTCTGTTACACACCGCCAGATCCATGGCGTGTACCAGTTCTGGACGATCCTCGTCATGGGGTGCTCAGAAGCGACATGTTCGAGAAAGAGGAGTTGTCCACCAGTAGGTTCTATCAGGGAGTACAAGTCGGAAATGATGTCGCGAGGTTTCGGAATTGTGCAAAGCGACAAGATGCAGACCACCGTATCGACGCTGCCATCGATAATTCCGACATTATGTAGAGTCTCAGCATCCTCGATACGGCATCGTAAGGTTTGATAAGTACCGCCTAAGCCAGTTTGTAGGATTTCGCGATTCAAAGAACGTATGCTTCGTTCGTTCGGCTCAAGTGCCCAAACCTTGGAAACCTTTGCAGGATCGTAATACTTTTAACGTATGCCCTCCCCCCGCGCCAACTTCCAGAACGACTCCATGTGCATAGTTCAAAAGCTCCCGTTTGGCGCCACTTAGCAGCATGTCGCTCAAGGCAAATAGCCTGGGTGGGGCCGCCTCTAAAAATGACGTCCGCCATTGTCGTAAACATACTATATGTTTCGGATTGCGAGCCATATGCAACAAGGAGAGGAGAAGACCAAGGACGGCCATGTAATATAAAACACGGGAATATATAGTTGAAGATCAAAGCAATTGATGACAATCGGCTCAATGACCCCGTTAAACGTCTGGTGCTAGCCATAATGATGCATTGGGAAAAGTCTGTACGGGAGGACCAGCAAGTCTTTGCCTTTATACACGTAAGTCGGAACAACGTAATCTAGAGGATTTTCTTGCCCGCTGCGAGTTCTGCTGCCGTCTCAGTCTGGCTGGTCTACTTGGTCAACCAACTACTCAGTGATGGGGGCCACGAAAGCCAACCAGTTCCCAGGAGCTTGGCACTAGCTCCAGCTCCGTATACCTCGGAACCCCCACATCCGGAGGGGTGGGGGGCGCTGCCAAGGCACAGATACAGTACTCCGCGCAAGCGAACACCTTTCATTAGGGATTATAATTGTTCTGGTGTTACTCCTTTTTCTATCTTGGAATCGCGATACAATCCGAGCACCTATGGTCCATCATACTCGAGATATCCGCCGCCAAGATCTACGTTGTTCTCATCTGGGAGCTACAAGTCCACTTGGAGCTGTGCTTGAAGGCAGCAGCATGGCTTAGTTGTGGCTTAGATTCCACGAGTAAAAGAGACACGGTGTGTTTAAACATGATTGGCCGAGAGCTCATTCTCGGTCCGAGGTCCGTGCATTTCATAATACCCTACCCCACCCCCCAGTAACCAAGTTACAAATATAGTCATCCTAGCATGGAGACGGTGTTCAACGGGTAAAACATGATATGCGGAACGCACAACCGCTACAGCGAGTAAGTCACTGCTGAAGTGGGTCACTGTCGAAATACAACTACCGCAGTGGCCCGTATTCGGGAGTGCTTGGTGTGGCAACACGCCCTGCGGACACTAACGGTGACTGAATGTCGTGTTAAGGGTCCTGATATCCTGGGGGGCGCCGGAGGTGCCAGAGGCTTTGTCTATCCAACCATCATAATGATGAGTTGCTTGCACTTCAATTTGAGACCCAGCGCGTAGCGGTTGAAAACAAAGGTCTTCTGCGCCGGTTGATGCTCAATAGTTGACCACAGTCTTTTTCCCTGCCCTCGGTTGCATTGGTCGTTTTGACCAAAGTTACACAAACGACCGTTTTTAGCTGTGACTTCAACGCGAAGGTCAACGGACGAGAACGGCGGGCGGTGAAACCGCACTTTATTTTCAACAATCTAGGTGTTGTAAAACGGAATTTGCAAATTCTGGGGAAAAGCTGGTGGTTAAACATAGTCTTCACAGAATTATCTGCATTCAGTTTTTGATCCTAAAGGATGGGGTTTTCCAAAGTAGCAGTGTTCTACTCTCGCCTTTGAGCATGGTTAGCGAAACCGTGACCTGGTGCAAGTATAAAAATCTGCTAATACGCAGCAAAATTGAGACTACTTACAGTAGTTTTCGAAATCAGTTACTGTAGACCTCCACACTCTTGCGACTTCATTCCCGGAAATATAATCCTATATGTGCGAGCTCTAATTGGATCAGGTCGTCCTGGCCCATTTCAGACCGCTTTCTATAATACTCTGTGTATTTTACAGTACGAATATGGGACCGTCAGTGATGTACATATGTATTTTGCGCGAAACTGGAATGGCAGAATTTAGAGTGACGTCTCTGCCTGCGGGTACCTTGTGCGAATCTTTCTGGTCGTCGCCACCCAAGGACTAAAACAACTTGAAGACTGGAAGAGTGCGGTGAGCAATGAAGAATTGACATTGTTCTCCTTAGCATTTATCCTAATACACAGGCCAGGAGTTCGGAGGAGTACATGCCGCAACTAAAAAGTTTTTCTTCTCCCGGGATGGGATGACTAACGGCGACTGGGCACGTTCCAGGTGAATTAATAACCAGTTGTTATGAAAGGCGGTCGAGGACAGGCTAAAGCTTGATTTTCAAGACCATTACATTGTTCATCTTATACCAGTCCTTTCTATTTTTCCATGCCCCCGACATACATGAAATAGGCTCAGAGACAACAATGGATTGGGATGCTTTGTGTTTCAATGTTGCCACTTTGATTGCAGGCGTGTTTGTTCTTGACTATGGCGCAGACAAGTTCATCGACCACACCGTCATTGTCGGGCGGCGCCTAGGCATCTCGCAAACTGTCATTGCCCTCTTGACAGCTGGCGCTGAATGGGAAGAGGTCTGCAATTCAGTGCAATCCGATCCAATATCTATCCTGGCTAATCCCTTCATTAGCTCGCGGTCGTGATTGCCGCCATCCTGCAACATCGCAGCCCCCTGGCCCTTGGGAACGTCATGGGCTCGACTATCTCCAACATTCTCGGCGCCTTTTCTTTGGGGCTACTCTTCTACCCCCAGGGTCTGGAGTTTGACCGCAGCGCAAAGATATACTCGGCCCTGCTGTTCGTGGTTACGACGCTCTTTGTGGTGCTAGCATTCTTCAACCAATTGAACCAGATCGTCGGTGGGGTCTTGATTGCTATATTCGCGCTCTACATCGTCTCTATCATCTACGCTATCTACAAGGGTGTAGCCTCACCCCTAGAGCTATCGAACAGTGATAGCGACGGGGAATCCGGTGACAGCGATGACGGCGAATCCGTCAATCATGCCCCTGTCTCCGAGACCTCGCCCCTCATCGAGAATGAGCATACGCCGTCATCAACAGACAAAAGGACCAGACGAAGCAGAAGTCTTCCTTACCATATATTCCAACTCATCCTCGGATTTATCTCGCTTTCTCTGTCAGGATACATCCTGTCCCACAGCGCCGTCGCCATCGCCGATTCCCTGCATCTCTCGGGAACCGTCTTCGGTCTGACCGTTGTCTCCTTTGCCACTACTCTCCCAGAGAAACTGGTTGCAATCCTCAGTGGTTCCCGCGGCCACGGCGGCATTATGGCTGCCACCACGGCAGGAAGCAACATTTTCCTGCTGACGCTCTGTGTTGGTGTCGTTGCGGCGGCGGGGTACCAAGTACAAGAGGCGGATAATTTTGTGCTTTTTGAGCTGGTGGTAGTGTGGGTGTCCTCTTTGGTATTTTGTGCTGTTATCTTTTTGGGACTTGGGAGGAATGCAGGCGTAGTGCTCTTGATTGCCTACCTCGTGTTCCTGTGCCTGGAGTTTACTATTTACCGGCGGTGATTAGCACAATCCGTCTTTGTATTCTTCAACGCTTTTTGTCAACCGATGTATGAATGTGAGACCTGCATTCTGTAGCTTCCTTGGGATATAATATCAAAGTGAGAGCTATATGTATAATTATTCTCACTGGCGTAAATGCGAGACTTGGTGGGCATGCCAGGTCGCCAGAACTCCCCAAAGATTCCACGTATTGAACATTACGGTACTATTACGATGACTCATCTGTTGGTGTACGGCCATTACTATTATAGTTCTGCCAGAATTACAGAGCGGTGAATTAGAGTAGGTTAGCGATTTCCGGATATTTTCCGGGAACGAAGGTGCAAGAGTGAGGTGGTATAACTGATTTCAAAATCCACTGTACTGAGATTAGAGAACAGCCGACACCGGCATACTGTACCGCATTTATCTCTCTGCATTTCCGAATGTAAATTTATGCCATAGGCTACCCGAATACGATAGGGGGTTAACTAGACACATTCATGTGTTACGATTGTTCGGTTGCGCTGACAGGCCTTCTAAGTATGCAGCTCCAGTTTTGATGATCCGCATGCGGAGCTTCTGCCGGCCCGAATCTTAGAACCCCCTTATTAGTCAGCGTATGGGTGGGGACTGCCGTGCTCATTTGTACTGCTTCTTCAAAAGATAAACCCCACTCCCACGATCTCGTCCCAGTATAGAGCGCACGCCAGCATCACTATCGATACCAATTCTAGCAGCATCCGAAAACTCGATTTGTCAATGCGCATGAAAAGGTTTACAGGTGGCCGATTAGGCCCATTAGCCCAAAGACAAACAGTTGAAAGAGGCTGGTATCGTCAATCTCTAACACTAGATAACTACTGTGGATGTGATTGGCCAGGGGCAGTCGGACCATTCACGTGCTGGCGTGTCCCATGGGAAACTGACAGGCTGACACGATTTCCGAAAATAACTTCAGCAACACCTCAAATTCACACAAATTGGACTGAAAGCAAACGATGACTTCAACGATGGTAGGCGATTGTTACGGCCCACCGGCTCCGGCCCCTGAGCCTGATGTTACGCCACTCGGGGCTCCAAGTGAGAAGACGAGCAGTTGCCAGGATTCTTGCTGCGATAGCGACGACGCTGAGCCTATCGACGCCTCGGCCCCGGGTCAGAAAATGCCCAACCCGGAAAATCCCTATGATTGCTGCTCTCCTGACAAATGTGCGGATAACAAAACCGAGAATCATACCGACGCGCCTGACTGCTGCCGTGGCAAAGCCAGCCCATGCTGCGATACGTCTTGCCTTGACCGCTTGGCTATGCAGGAATGCGAGATGAGTGCTACGGCTGCTCCCGGCCCAAACAATCAGCCAAACAGTGGGTATCCGCCCTTTGAAAATGGCAGTCAAAGGTTGCTAATCCCCTTCAGCTTGCGGTGGAGCTACCGACCACAAGGCATGCAGCCAACATAGTCTCTCTGCCCTCGACCGCTACGGCGCTACTCTACAAGCCCTGGGATGTATCTGCCGCGCTCTTATTGCTCTTGGCCAGGAAACCTGCTGTGAACTCCGCGAGCGACAGTCACTGGACGGGAAGCAGTGCTCTAAGAAGTCATCTGCTCGCTCCCTTCGCACTTCACTGGATTTCTGCAGCAACGGCTTGGTCGCCAAAAACCAGGCCGTGCAGAACCGTCCTCGCCTGCGAAGGGGCTCTTGTGAAAGCACCAGGACTGTCGAGAAGGCGTCCGCGGATGCCTGCGTTGTCTCTTTTTTTTCGAAGGACAACCCTGCCAAAGAGCCTCCTGTCAAAAGCAAGTGCCCGAAGCCGTGCTGCTCTGAGGACAGGCCCGCGGCGGCTCCATTTGAGGACAACTGTTCCAAGACTTGCTACCCTCCCAACGTCAGCTGCCCCGGATCTTGCTATCCCAGAGACCTGTGTGCCAAAGACAATGACACCAAGAGCATATATGCGGACCCATGCTGTTCGAAGGTCGGACCCATTGTTGAACCTCTAACTAGTGGGTGTGCAGGGTCCTTTTGTGGAACAGCTAAGAACGCGATTAGCAAAGAGCTACCCAACGCCGCCTCCTCTGGCTCTTGCTGTGAGTCACCGAAGCAGGATATAGTGAAGACTCCAATGACTAGTCGCGCAGATTCTCGCTGCACAGAAAAGCAGCCGCCCAACCCTCAAGTCTCTTGCACCGATGCTTGCTGCTCCTCTGCTGTGCCCGATCCTGGTTTAGAGATTGAGAAAGCCTCGATTCAAGCCATCACCGACATAGAGAATCAGGGTACCGGCAAGGAACATGTTGTCCTCAGCATTTCTGGCATGACTTGTACTGGTTGCGAGACAAAGCTTAGCCGAACCCTCGTTACGGTCCCCGCCGTCAAAGACCTGAAAACCAGTCTGGTTCTCTCACGAGCCGAGTTCGATATTGATCTTCGCCTTGGCTCAGTTGAAGAAGTCATAAAACATCTGGAGAGAACCACTGAATTCAAATGCGAAAGAGTCCAGAACCAGGGATCTAGCCTAGATCTTATCGTCCCTGATGAGCCCTCGAATTTCATTAGTCAGACGTGGCCGGACGGAGTTCTTGACATGGCACCCGTTGACAAGCAGACTGTGCGAGTTGCGTTTGATCCGAATATCGTGGGAGCTCGAGACCTCACCGAGAAGATTTGGGGTCCGCCAATTGAACTTGCTTCTCCACGTGGCGACCCTTCCCTGGAGGCTGGCAGCAAGCATGTTCGTCATGTTGGATACATGACGCTTCTCTCCGCTGTCTTGACGATTCCGGTTCTAGTCATGGCATGGGCTTCGCTTCCTGACAGGGAGGTGGCATATTCCTCGGCTTCACTCGCATTGGCCACGATTGTTCAAGTTGTGATAGCAGGGCCTTTCTATCCTAAGGCCCTGAAGGCTCTCATTTTTTCGAGGGTTATCGAGATGGACCTCTTGATCGTCTTGAGCACTAGTGCTGCCTACATATTCTCGGTTGTCTCCTTTGCGTACCTCATTGCAGAGCAGCCCCTTCCGACCGGTCAGTTCTTTGAAACGAGCACTCTCTTGGTCACCTTGATCATGGTTGGTAGATGGGTTGCCGCTCTCGCTCGTCAGAGAGCTGTTGAATCTATTTCTATCCGGTCACTTCAGACATCGACAGCTATCCTTGTCGACCAAAAGAGCGGAACGGAACGTGAGATTGACGCCCGACTTCTTCAATACGGCGACACCTTCAAAGTTCTCCCTGACACCAGAATCCCGACCGACGGCGCTGTCATCAATGGGTCGTCTGAGGTTGACGAGTCTATGCTCACTGGTGAATCTAGACCAGTGGACAAATATCCCAAGTCTGTGGTGGTTGCTGGGTCTATCAATGGATCTGGTGTTATGACTGTTCGACTGAATCGTTTACCTAGCGATAACACTATCAATGCCATTGCTACGATGGTCGATGAGGCCAAGCTGTCGAAACCTAAGCTGCAGGATCTCGCGGACCGGGTAGCATCCTACTTCGTCCCGGTTGTGCTGGCGTTGACAATCATCACGTTCGTCATCTGGGTTGCAGTAGGAATGACTATTCGTGGATATGATGGATCCGAAGCTACAATTCAGGCCGTCACCTATGCCATTACTGTCCTCATCGTTTCTTGCCCCTGCGCCATTGGACTGGCTGTTCCTATGGTCATTGTGATTGCCAGCGGAGTCGCGGCAGAAAGAGGTATCATCTTCAAATCAGCAGATGCTATTGAAGTGGCTCATAAGACGTCGCACGTCGTGTTTGACAAGACTGGGACCTTGACTCGGGGAAAGCTTTCTGTCGTCGCGATGGAGTGCGACAACGTGAACAAGCTCCCGCTTCTTCTAGGCCTCGTCGAGAACAGTCGACATCCCGTCTCGGTTTCTGTGGCTGCTCACCTCAAGGATGCCGGAGTTATGGCTTCAACTGTTCCTGAACCCAAGAGCCTTACTGGCAAAGGTGTTGAAACCACCTTTGGTGGCCGGAAACTTCGTGCAGGCAATTCTCGCTGGCTGAATTTATCGGAAGATGAAGTTGTTCAACCAATGCTTGCTCAGGGGTACACTGTCTTCTGCTTTACTATCGACAATGCGTTACAGGCGGTCTATGGTCTTGAAGATGAGCTTCGACCTGACGCTGCGGAAACAATTGAGACCTTACAGAGGCGTGGCGTCTCGGTACATGTCGTTTCTGGCGACGATGACCGAGCTGTTCAGTCTTTGGCTTCCAAGCTTAGCATTCCTGGCGGTAACGTGCGTTCTCGAAGCTCGCCCGCCGACAAGAAGGACTACATCCGGACGCTCCTCAGTACTGGCATAGATCGTAAGAAACCGGTTGTTGTTTTCTGCGGTGACGGCACAAATGATGCTGTTGCTCTCGCACAGGCTACGATCGGCGTCCACATAAACGAAGGCACGGATGTCGCGCAATCTGCCGCGGATGTGGTTCTCATGCGGCCTTCTCTGGCTGGTATCCCTACCATGATGGACGCCAGTCGGAAATCTGTCAACCGCATCAAGTTCAACTTTATATGGAGCTTCATATACAACATTTTTGCAGTCCTTCTCGCTGCGGGTGCTTTTGTCAATGCCAGAATTCCCCCAGAGTTTGCGGGATTGGGAGAGTTGGTGAGTGTGTTGCCAGTCATTGCTGCTGCGCTGCTTCTGCGCTGGTCGAAGATCTAGGCGCAGAGCACCATTATTGCACGAGTGACAACCACTGAAGTTCCACAAACTCTCGTTAATGTCTGAATGGCATCGTCGCTTCGACGACAGAATGCGACAGCTCTTGTCATACTCAGTTTCGATTCGCAATCACAGAATGCTGCAATTCTGTCGTTATCAGTAGTCTGCTTCATATTTGAGAAGATTCCTCCAAGGAAGCCTCAACTCAATCCATTCCATTCCAGATCCCCATCTCAGCTTCATTCTCACCATTGAAGAAGTACTTACATAACTATGTTGAATTTCGGCCGGTGCGCACACGACGCTGTCGCTACTACGGCCACTTT